AAATTTATTAATCGTTTATGAATATTGGGGATAGTATTTTGAGACAAGTTCAGATACATATACATATGCATATGTGTGAGGATAATGTATGCTAACAAGATATATGTACAATGTACATACATATGTGTTCATGCAACATACATACCCAGCAAAAACTTACATTTCAATGTATTGAGTTAAACCCCGTTTTTCACTAGTTATTCATTAGCGTTTCACCTCATTATTTTAACACGGTGATGACTTTATTTCTAATAGTTGAAATAATACGCTCCTTAAATAATTTAATGTTGTTTTAATTGAAAAGTAAATATTTGCTAATTATTTGAGTCATTTAAGTGAACAACAATAAAATCAGATTAGCAGTATTTTTTATAATTCATATATCCCAGCAGATTTTGAGGTAGATAATATATCCCTTTAAGACAGTTTATATTCTTAAGTCATTTAACACGAATGTATGTATGTTTTCTTCGGTCTGCAGAAGTTATTGTCATATTTGTCACTAACTAATCTAGAGAGAAATCGTTTTTAGATTTTTGAACTGAATTTTAGAAAACAGTTATTATACTCACCAGAAGAAATTAACTAAGTCTGTAGCTATAGTGGAAGGTATAATCGGGGCATTCATTACGAACTGTAGGGATACTAGTATGTGTGAACTTATTTATTATTTTTATAATTTTTGCATTTGTTTATATTTTCAAAAGCAACAAGTTGTTAGACAATGTCTGCTTTTTCTGTAAAACACATAATAAACACGTTTCGTAAATTTGTATGGAAAACAACAAAAATAACTTTTGCTCATTTGCAACTAAAGAGTCATAATTTAAAAATCATAGTTTCGATTGAAACTTTTACAAAAATCAAAGATTAATATGTTTATTTTTAGTTTAAACAAATTTTTTTGCTAATAAATTAAACATAAAACAAAAGTTTTTAATTTTTATTTGGGGAATTTCGTGTCAAGTAACCCAACTTTAAAAATCGATGTCTTCCGACTTGGATGATAGATATCCCACTAGCACCCCATTATGGGACTATAAAGCCCTTCAAGGATTTTGAGCACATTTCGTCAAAACCGATTTTTTGAGTTGGGTCACTTGACATGAAATTCTCCATTTATATACAGTATTGTTCGAAACCTAAGCAACTTTTTTTTGGCATTGTATACAAAGTGTTATATTTTCTTTTTTTACTGATTTATTCAAAATTATATAATTGATAATAATAATATTATGTGTCTACATTATAATAACAACAACAAAAGTTTAATTCCATTTCGCTGTGAGTTACAAGAAAATAATAACTGAATTAACTCCATAAATAGCTGTTCGAAACTTAAGCAACATTTTGATCTTCTTATGAAAATCTTTGGTCCTTTTGAGTTCCAAACACCTTTATGGAATAGATTAGTTACTAGTGTAGTTCCTAATGAATCCCAATCGGATTTTAAGCCATTCGCCAGCTGTAATGTTTTCTAAAACTGCGAGTTTCGACCCAGCGCTTCAGAATGCCGAACAGCATCTCTAAGGGGCTTGAGTCAGGAGATTTTGATGGACAATCAAAGAATTTGGGTCCCATTATACGATAACTACTCTTAGATCAACTTTGCCAAAGGTTTTGGTTCATTATCATGCTGAAAATCTCAATAAAGTAAGTTGTTCTGTTCAATGTACTTAATCCTTTGGTTCATTTGGTTGGCCAAAAATGTCTCAGAAAGTTAAACAATCAAATTTTATTTGTATTTCAACATCAGGACTTACTCTACTCACTAAAAATCTTGCCCACAACCTTAATTGTTTGACCTCCATGCTTTTTTAAGTCTTTAATGTACGATGATGTAACCGCATATGAATCCCGCAGTGACATGGCACAGAGTTTACTTAAAGAAATTCGATTTTTTCAAAAAGTTTGTACAATTTTGAGTAGAATATTGAAATAGATTAAGCAAGACTAATAAAAACAGTTTTATTTACAAACGGGTCCACATTTAAATTCAAACAGACTATGCGAGGCTCAAAGGCTGAAGGAAATATTACAATATACCCTTTTAGTAAAGGCCCAATAATGAATGGAGAGCAAAAATTTAAGGCTGTGGCCACAGTTTTTGAAGAGAAGAGTTAGTCCTGATGTTGAAACACAAACAAAGTTGGATCGTTTTTCCTTTTGGGACGTTTTTCGCCAACAAAATGAATCATATGATTGAGTACACCGAACAGAACAACTTACTTTATTGCGATTTTCAGCATGATAATGAACCAAAACCTTTGGCAAAGTTGATCTAAGAGTTGTTAACGGGTAATAGGACCCAAACTCTTTGATTGCTCATCAAAATTTCCTGACTCAAGCCCTTTAGAGATGCTGTTCGGCATTCTGAAGCGCAGGGTCGAAACTCGCAGTTTTAGAAAACATTACAGCTGGCGAATAGCTTAAAATCCGATTGGTATTCATTACGAACTACACTAGTAACTAATCTATTCCATAAAGGTGTTTGGAACTCAAAGGATCAAAAAGTTGCTTAAGTTTCGAACAGTTATTTATGGTGTTAATTCAGTTATTATTTTCTTGTAACTCACATCGAAATGGAATTAAAATTTTGTTGTTGTTATCATAATGTAGACACATAATATTATTATTATCAATTATATAATTTTGAATAAATCAAAAATATAGCACTTTGTATACAATGCCAAAAAAAGTTGCTTAGGTTTCGAACAATACTGTAATTTTTCTAATTAAACACAACGCACAGAGGTATAGAAAAAAATAGAGGGAAATAATTCTATAACTTCTAAACGGTTAGTCCGAAGAAATAGGATCGTTTTAAAAACTGTACATACCCGAGGTGTCCTACCGATGAGATCCAAGTTCAGAACTTAAACTCGACAACACCTCCTCTCTCTACATGTAAAATTTCATTCAGTTTAGAAGAATTATTCCCCTATATTTTTCTTCTATACTAATGTAGCGACGGACATTTTTTGTGCTTAGTTGAAAAACATTGAATTTTGAGTAAAGACCTTTCAGTTACAACCAAGTTTTTTTTAAATTTCTCTAGAAAATAAATGGTTGTGCCGGAAAAATTGTCAACGCAATTTCCTTTTTTTCTAAAAACACAATTATTTCTAAGCTATAGCACTACAATGAGAAAGTATTATTCTTGATACTATATGTAACATTTATAATAAATCCATTTGGAATCCCTTTTGTAACAATTCTTATAAGAATCGGTCTATCTATGTATATAAAAATGAATGTGTGTTTGTATGTTTGTTTGTTTGGACTTTATAGGCAGCTAAACGGCTGGACCGATTTTTCTAAAATTTTCATAGTGTCTTCCTGTGTGTCTGGAAAGAACATACTACCTTTAACTGCAAAATTTCAAGTGGGCGAGGAGCCACGTCAACATACAAAATAAGTATTAAAAGTGGCATATCTCAAAAACTGCAACAGCTAAAGTCCTACAATTTTTTACAGACAACTTTGACATTCATAAGAATGGGCGGAATGGATATGGTGGGCGTGGCACCTTCCATATTAATAAAATATTAAATCAGTATATCTGAAAAATATAACAGTTAGATTGCTCAAATCTTTTCGCAGCCACTTTCGTGTCAATATGATTATTTAAGACAAAATGTGGGCGGACTAGCAACAGGGGGCGTGGCTCCTACCATATGAATAAAAATTCGTTTATCTTGAAAACTATGGTAATTAGAATCTTCAAATTTTGCACAAAGAACTTTAACTTCCGTGTACACATTTTGGGTAATAAAATGGCGGACTACCAATGGGGGGAGCAGAACCTTCCATATGAACTAAATACAAAAATTCGTTTATCTGGGAAACTAATACAACTAGATTCTTAAAATTTTGCACGAAGAACTTAAATATTCATCTGAACATTTTAGGAAAAAAAGGCGGACTTTCATTAAGGGGAGAGGGGTGTTTATTTATATTGCTTTTAGGGTAGCAAAGCACACTGGGTATAGCTAGTAGGTTTATAAATTAAGTGTTTGCTACAGTAACATGATAAGCCAATCGATATCAAAAACTAATATTATGACCTACTATATTCATAAAATTTGAGTATAATAATTTAATATAGCCAAAAATATAAGGACTTCCTGTACAAATTTCATATAATTTGTGAATTTTTCAAAACTTTAAAGTAGTTTTTTTTTATATATATTTTTATTTTGTGGCATACCGAGTTACTGCAATAAGCCCTTCAATTAGCTATTGTGATATAATTCGATATAAATAAGTTTCATTATTACTGGAATTATTCTGAGGATTTGTTAATTATTCAAATACATTGTTATGATTAAACAGTTTATCATAAATCAACTAAATATTTCCCATCGTCGTACTGGACTGCGAGAGAATCAGTTCAGACTCTTGTATAGTCTTATATGTTCGACCATGCTTATACCCACCATTTAAAAAAGTGGGGGGTATATTGATTTTATCATTCCGTTTGTAATATTGGTCGTTGACCCACAATAGAATATATATTCTGAGTCCTTAAAAAATTAATGACCCACAATAGAATATATATTCTGAGTCCTTATTAAATTATAAGACGATCTAGCCATGTCCGTCCGTCTGATCGTCTATCTGTTGAAATCACGATAGGGGCTACACGGGAAGAGCTGACAGTTGAAATTTTGCATAAATATTCTCTATTGATAAGGTCGTTTTAATAGTATTTTAACTCAATACTATTTTAGGTACTTAATTTTTTTATATTAAAAATTTCCAAAATAAAAGGAAATTGAAAAAAACATGTTTATTTACAGAATATTTATGAATATCGTAATTAAATTAAGTAAATTTTATTTTCTTTTTTTAAATCTAATGATTTTATTTATACTAAAATTAATAATAAAAATAATTTACAAATTGTATTAAACTTTAATATATAATATGGTTGTATTAAAAATAAACAAAATATTTATTTATTTTAAAAAGTTATTGCACGAAAAAATTTGTTTTTTTAATAAAAATACATAATTTGTTTTCAATTTAATATTAATATTTTTTCATAAGGATCATTAGTATTAAAGGTGGTATTTTTTTCGATACTGTTGGTCAATTGTATATAGTTATTTTTAAAAGGATTCGAAAATTTTAATATCAAATTTATTATAAATTTGCTGCTCTATTTAAATACTTGCAGTTTTAATTGTTTAACGTTTAAAACTGCATGCGTCTTTGGGTATTGCGGAAGTTGATGACCAAGAATGTAGCCAACAGGAAACCGAAAAACTAACGGTATAAAAAATAAATTTAAAAATTACATATAAAGAATTGTATACCATATTTTACACTTACTTCAAATGCTACACAAATCCATGATAAAATAGCAAAACGATAAGATTCTTCTTCATAGTATGTCACCATTTTTTCACTGCAACCTTCGGTAAAAAGATTGTGAATGTCCGATTTATCCTGATCAGCATAACAACTGTCTGGAATAGGTTTATTCATGAGTACATAATCGTTGGAACTTGTTTTGCCACAACAATCATGATTAATTTGTAATTCATCCATTGCATTTGTTTCCCAGGCCTTATTAACCACCTCGACACCATTATGCTCGCCACTGTTGATGCCAACGATCGCGATTGCAATATTTATCAAGGTCAATGCCAAGAGGAACACAGCGCACTTTAAAAGATCAATTGATCATTACAAACATTCAGCGAATATGAATAAATTAAATTATAAAAAGATCTTTGTGCTACTTACAGTCGCCGTTAGACAGACAGATTCTCGTATTGTGGCAAATATTCCTAGGAATGCAAAGATTACACAGAGAGATAGTGTTGTGTAGTAACCAATGGATAATTCTTCTCGAAAATAGTCTGGATTAAATGAGATCAATATTATGCCCGCAATAGAAATTATCTGTAAGTACAATTGAAAACAAAATAATAATTAAAGTTAAAATATGTTTATATGTATGTATGGATAAGATTTTTATTATGCCCATCGCCATTTTATAGTACTTATAACAAGAAAAATATATATTCCAGATTCATGTATTCATATGTAATTTACATGTTCTTATGATATACCATTTCGATCGAAAGTGGATTTTTTCAGTATCTTGTTTCTTTGGAATATGTAAAACGAAATTTTTTTGAATAAAACAATTTTTAGTAGTTATTGGATTTTATTAAAGTTTTAATCAAAAGCTTTCATCTTTATTTCAATGAACAAAACTTTATCATTTTAAAGTTAAAACAAGAAAGAAGATATAGTCGGTCCTGCCCGGTTATAATACTGGTATAAGAAAGTGGTCAATTATGGACCACTAGTAAAAAACCAACCACCAAACTTTTGTTACAAAATCAATATTAATTTGAAATCTAAGGAGTGAGATCGTAAGATTCTTAACACACGTTTTTCATTAAAACTTTTAACCCAAGTAATATTTTTTTTTTTTTTTTTGATCAAGTTACCTTTGTAAAATATGTCAGTTATTATGTTTAATGTCAATTATGTGACCAGAAAAAAGTGCGTACTAAAATTTTTAAATACTTTCAACAAAACCCAACTTGGTCCTACAAAAAATGGGCCAAGCATTTAAAGGTTTGCCGTCAAACTGTTTCCAATGTTATTAAACAGTACCGGGAGAACTTGTTCGTTGATAGAAAACCTGGTTCAGGTAGAAGGAATGGTCCACATGATGTTTCTAAAGCCAAAAAAATAGAAAGCATTTTCACTTAATTTGTCCTGACTTGGCATCCTGTCACTGTGGTAAACAAGTCCTTTAGTGGTATTTGTACCAAGAGAGGTAAATCCTCCAAACTGCCCGTAGCTAAGGCCAGTGGAAAGAGAATTGAAGAGCACAAAAAAGGTATCCAAAAGTGTGATAGATTTTAAATGGAGATGGTTGGTTGGTTGGTTTACGTGGTAGTTCACTACGCGCGAACAGTCAAGTAGAGTAAAGAGACTCCGTTTTCACCGGACCACTCCACTCGTCAGATGTAGTATATTCCAGTTTTAGATCCAGCCTGTAGCAGTGAGAAATCTTAGGATATCATTAAGCTTAGATCCAGATATCTCTCCAAGTTTAGATATGAAGTTGCTGCCAAGGAAACGGTTCCTTTTCACAGATAGGGAAGGGCATTCGCAAAGAAGATGGAAGACCGTTTTTTCCTTTTCCCTGTCTTTGCAACTGCGACAGTGTTTATTGAAAGGTAGTCCAAGCCTACTTGCATGTATGCCTAACACCCAGTGTCCTGTTATTACTGCTATTAATCTCGATATATCCCATCTACTTTGGTTTATAAGGTGAATTGTGCGTTTCCCATTGAAAGAGGGCCACAACATCTTGGCCCCTTTACATGTGTCTAGGTTATTCTACCTATTTTCAGCCTTTTGAAGATAGAATCTGAGGATACTACTCTTAATAAAACCTAACGGGGTTGCTACAGGAACGGCGTTGGATATATCAAGAGCAGATCTCGTTCTGGCAAGCTCATCTGCCTGTTCATTTCCATAATAGTCCCTATGCGCAGGGACCCAAACAAGGGTAATGTCAGGCAGGCGAACCAGCCTTGATAGATCCTTCTTGCATTGCTTAACTAATAGGTAAGAATTTAGTTAGAGAAGTGCTGCTTGACTATCGACAAAAATTCCTATGTTGCCGCGAATATTGAGGTCGTGTAGTACCCTGCAGGCTGACATTATCGGAAATATTTGAGCTTGAAAGACACTACAGTTGTTGGGAAGGCGTCTTCACAGAAGACACCAGAACCAACACCGCATGCTGTTCTCTGAACTTTGTATAGCTGATCTACAACATATTTGTTCTTAGTTGAAGTCCACCATACAAGAGATCCATATGTAAGAATAGGATGTACTATAGCTGTGTACATCCATTTAACTATGTTGGGACTAAGTCCCCATTTCATTCCAAATATCTTACGAGAGGTATAGTAGGCAACCATTGCCTTCTTGACTCTGTGTTGGATGTTGAGTTTCCATGCTAATTTGGAGTCTAGAAAAATTCCTAGATATTTGGCATTGTTCGATAAGGGTACTTCGCAGTTATTTAGCCGCGGCAAGTTGAAGCTTGGAATCTTGGTCTTTGTCGTGAATAGTACCAGTTTTGTCTTGCTTGGATTTACTCCTGTCTGTCGCCCAATTATCGAGTAGCACCAAAGCGTTAGAAATGATATCACTAATCACGTCTGGGAACATTCCTGATACCAATATTACAACATCGTCCGCGTAAGCAACAACTTTTATCCCTCTGTTGTCCAGTTCAATGAGAATCGAGTTAACGACGATGAGCCAAAGTAGTGGACAGATTACGCCGCCATGTGGTGTATCTCGTTCCACTTGCTTGGACTTAACGCTGTTACCAAGACAACGGAGATGGACTACCTGTTCGGGCAAAGTGACAGAAAGCTCTATAAAAACGTAATGAAAAGGTTTCCGAAAAAGGTTCAAAATTTCATCACTAGCGATTAAAACTATAAAAATATTTTTTTAATTGTAATAATAATTTTAATCAAATAAAAATAATAAAACTGTAAGTTTAGTGGTTTCGTTTTTATTAACATATATGTATGTATGTTAAGAATTTTTCGATCGATTACAAGATTTACATAGTACGACGAACATGGATTAATGACTGAAAAAATTATTCTGAGTCGATTGTTTTTAAATTTGTGGAGAATGTACAAAATTAATTCGATAGAATATCAAAATATGCGACATTCCTGATAAACTTGTCAAAGTCGAATATAACATACTAGCTTACCCAGTGTGCTTCGCTACCCTTATGGAAGTTAAATTAAACCAAAATTTTACTAATAGAATATTTTGGTACTTTTTCTCTCCCTAATACATTTTATTTAACAAACATTGCAACATCGTAATGTTTTAATAAATATCCATATGTACAGACTAATAAACATTTTATAAAAAAGTACCAAAAATAAGTACGATTTTTACCCTTTAAACGTCCAAATTTCCCGAATGTAAGGTGCGAATGTGATACAAATTTTACTTCTATGTTTACAGGTTGAAAAAATACATAAGGTCTAAAAATAACTAAATTTCGAAAAAGTACCAGACACCTGTCCGCTTAGTTTGGTTTCCCTGGTTATAAACAATGCAATTAAAATTTTACATAAATATTAATTGACTTAATAAAAATTATAAATAAATTGGTGATTTATCACTTCTGAGAATGCAAACTCAATCTAATGAGAAATCTAAGGAAATGGCAAATATTTGGAAGTAAAAAGCATTTCCGCCAGTTAAATATAAAACATTGGAGTTTTAATGTTAAGGTGCTAAAAACCTAATATGGGTGGCGTTAGAACGTGCTTAAAGTCATGAAATGTGCTTTGAAAATTAAAATTCAATCAAAAGGACCGCTCGTTAAATATTGGAGGGATTCCCAGAATTAGGGCATAAATATTAATTAAATAAGCTGAATAATAATAAAGCACAAATATGATTTTTATTTCTAATAAACTATTGAATTACTTGCCCATCCATTATAATCAATTTATAAATCTTACACTGGTTTATAAAACAAATTTTCCACTCAAAATATGACAAATTTAAAAATTTAATATGAATATTGCTTTTAAAATATTAATATGTTCTCATTTTTTATACATTTGTTTTATTTGTTTGACAGCAATTTAATTGTTAACTATATTAATACAAATCGGACCTGTCTTGCTTGAATAGTCACTCTGACTTTATAAATATTTAAGTTTCAAACATTTTGTTAGTAGATTGTACTTCAGTTGAGTACATTGTCAATGTCACCAATTCATTTACCTTTTGGTATTATTGTAAAAGTATAAACAAAAGAAAAACGAAAACAATAAACTGCGCCCAGACTTTATTACATTTTTTTAACGACTCTTCCAACTGCTATTGAATCCTTTCCTTTATTTGACCTAAATAAAATCCAGTATATGACATCATAGATTAGACACAACAAGTACAATTGATTAATGTAATAATAAAGCTAGACAGTATTAATTTAAAAACCCCTAAAACAGACAATTAAAGGAATAATTTGTTAAAATATGATTTAGAAATCAATAAACAGGTTGAACATGTTTGAAATATTCTGTTGAGAAAATAAGATAACAATTGTGATTAAGAAAAACAAATGAATTATTAATAATTATTAATGAATAATTTACTCTATTTATAGAAGAAATGTATTCATAACAATTAAGATCTTGTTTTATGAAGTATTTACTCATATTGAATAAGTGCAAAATATAATAATAATCTAAATTTAGCACTCTGATTAGTTTTTAAATGAAATGATTATTTAAAATATCTAGATGAATGTAAAGAATAATTTCTTTGTTAATTCAACATGTGTTTTTTCGAACTGTGATTAAGGTGACAATGAATTGTTAATATATAAACTAGTATGTTTATTAGGGTGGTATCTTATCGACTTACATAATTTCTATATAAGAATTACTTATACTAACAAATAATATTTGATTAGTTATCCAAGATCCATCGGAATAACCTTTGAATGCTAAAATCTTATATATGTAATTTAGATTATGTATTAAGATGTCACCCTTGCAATAGAATTGACCATATATTCGACCATTCTACGTCCATTTTCATCAAATAATCTGCAAAATTTCGATTAGTAATAAAACTACTAAGTTTGTATCCACTGGAATATGGAATTCATTTATACATTATGAATTCCATATTTACATGATGAATTCGCAATTTAACCCCTTATAGTTGATCTATGCAAAGCACCCAAGATCGTGTATTAAAGCTGTGATACACGGTTGTCAGATCTTACAACATTGTCACGGTTGTCAGATCTTACAACATTGCCTAACAAACGTGTGAACTTAGAATTTTTCTTTTGCAACTTTGTCAGA